TAGGATACTTTCTATCTTTAGTGGCTCCTAGCATCATACTCTTTAAATCCTCCCAATAATGTTGACCTTATGGTTTATGTTTTTGCTAATACATCTTCAAATCATTACTTTTTTTTCTTGTTCTGTTTCTAATGTATCTACTCAGTAGAGATTTCTAATTATGTACCTTCCGTGAATCAACTTTTTGAGAAGTTGTTGGTATTGATTACACTCACCATGATACGATCCCATATCAACATGGACGATATAAATCTGTGTACGTATAAATACATTCAGTAAAATATTAGATTTAGTAGAAAAATCATATGAACAATTTTAAGTACCTTCAGTAGCGTACTGTCGGGAGATGGCCCCAATGTTCTACCCGCACATACGACGGAAACTGAAACTGCGAACAGAATCAACAAGATTTGGGAAACCATTTCCATTAAAATAGCTAATTATAAGAAATATATTGAGAGATTAAACAGACATCAAGATTGGATGGAATGAACTATATTGTCGATATAGTCAAACATAAATAGTGGTGAACAATGAAAACGTTAGGCCAAAAAGTGCGAAGCTATAATTAATAAGTTCTATAACATCTTTTGAGCGTTTATCGTGTATTTATTAGACTCCCTTCTGTGAGCGTTGTTTTTCACTTTTTAACATCCCGATTTTATTTAAAGTAGTACAAAAAAACTACCTAATTGACTAATTCATTATTAATAATTTAATAAGATGCAAAAGTTATAAAAAAAACTATTTCTAAATAAGTGTTGTATAAATAGTTGTATTGGATTTTATGTGCGGTCTAGCACACAATATATAATTTCACCTCAAATAAAAATACACTAAAAATACGATTTAATATAGAACCTAATATATATGGTTTTGTAAGACATATTTATTAATTTTTAAAAATCATGACTTATTATTGTACTCGAATAGTCTTTTTATTTAGCTAGATATATAAATTCATATTGTGTATAAAAAGAGCAGAGTGGCAGATTTGGTTCTTGGGAATTCAAGCGCAAGCTTTGGGTCCTTTAACAGAGTATATGACAATGGGGCTCCTGACTTTGCGAGAACCATCGATCTCCGTCCACGTGAGCCACGTGTTCCTTGTCATAAACGCCTTCCCCGACATCCAATTCGGCTTTGACGTTCCGGTGACAGTCACCGTGAAAGTCTTGGTCTCTCCGACCTCACTAAATTTTAACTCTGGAGGATCCACAATGATATTGTCAAAGTCTTTCTCATCTCGGTTCTTGATTTCTGCGCGGTAAGTGGAATCTCCGTCGTAAACGTTAGTGACCGTTCTACGGAAGATTTCTTTGAATGGGGAGTCGAGGGGGACTTGAGCCGTCATCGTTGGATAGTTGAGGTCGGCTTTGGGGTCTTTCTCTGTTTTGGAACAATCGATCTCGTCGCTTCCAGCGTGTGATCTTAACTTCTCGGTGTCGTAACCTTTTTTGCACATGTAATCTATGTAGTCTTGGTAATGTGTTTCGTAGACCAATCCCGGGTCTAGGACTTTTGTAGCGTTTAAGTGACCTGACCCGTATGCAAACTCATTTCCCTCATCCGTCATTTCCGTGGCTGCAATTAGACAATGAATGTTCAAATACATATTACTAGACTGTCGGTTGATAAATAAATAGATAGATGCTGCTATCATTAGTGTTGGAACTTACAAGTGGTCATGAGGGCAGATTTAATAGCGGATGGAGACAAAGAATGGTTGATCGACATGAGGTACAAGGCAAGTCCAGTGGCGTGAGGGCAAGCCATGGAAGTTCCTGACATCATGTTGAATCTGAGATGGCGGTAATCGTTGGTGGGGCGGTCTGACGAAAGTTTCACATTCTCGGGCCAACCCGCTATGATGTCTAACCCCGGAGCAGCTATGTCAGGCTGAAAACAAAACTCCACATGAGAATTATATACCATATTCTAGCTAGAGTGATACATCAAGTTGACCCAAGATTAGATAACCTTGAGAATATTAGTTAGGAAATTGTCAGAATGAGGACCCTTTGATGAAAACTTAGCAACAGTTGGAACCCATCCGTCTTCTCGTGGACATTCCATCGTCTTGTGGATTTTGGCACTACGTTTGCTGTAATACGAATCAACACAATTAAACCATAACGATTAATTAGTCTTAATAATTAATTGCTCATATATATATATATATGACCACTAAATTAATTAATGAAATGTCGTTACCTTTGACGTTTTGTATAGTACTCCCGTAGTTTACGTTTCTTTTCTTTGTCCAAAAATATAGAAGCGATGGGAAACTGTAACTTTCTCGTCTCATTCAAGTCGTAAGGACCATTACCCATTACGATTGCGCCTTTCGCTCTCTCTTTAATCGCTTTGTCCAAGAGCTCAATATTTGAGTATGGCAAGAAAACATCCCTTTCTTCGTCGTTCTCATGATTAGACGAGATTTGGTAACCTTTGCTCCTAAAATTGAGAAGCAAATGTTTTCATTTATCAAACCGCATGATTTTGACGATACTAATTCACCATGCGGATTGAAACTGATGTTCTTATAAATAATAGAAATTTTTCTAACCAGAGGTCCAAATTTGTGAAAATATTATTTTTAAAGTTTATGAAATTTTAGTATTGATATCGGATCTTGTCATCGTGGGTCTGGATGACTTACTCAGCGGTGAGAGCACGTTTTCTTGTTGATTCAGTGTGTGATTTTTCTTGCAAAAGTGGGTAGAAAGAATCTTGTGTCTCAAAGGTGTTGATCGTGTCGTATACCTGGTTTCATAACAAAAGAGATGTTAAACGAAGATGGAAATTATTGGGAGACTGTTACAAAGTCAATAACCCTAACGGGAATATAAAACTTGTGAGTCAAGAAACCAGTCTGTTTTCACTTACGGTAATTGGCTCATCTTCTCCTTCCAGATCCAACTTAGTCTTGAAAAATCTATCTTTCAAGCTCGCTGCAACCGTCATGACCCAAGGTGCACCATTGGCGACAGCATAATACTTCCCACTGTTCCCTGCCGCGGCTGAAGTCAAAATTCCATTATTAAGTGCTCTCAAGAACGCCCACGAGATATGATCTTCTTGCAGCGGATTAGAGTTTAACCCCTGAGAATACGAGATGATGCTGACCTTGTCCTTGATCGCATCATCTATTGCCTTGACAACACCATGTTCTGGACAAACTGAATCCTCTGTACCATCTTCTCTTATCACTTTCCAACATGTTTTGTAAACAGAGATCTTTGCGTTGGGAACACCCCCTCTCATTGTGCCTTCCGCTAGCCCAAAGTAGCTCGCCTTGTCTATTTTCCTGCCGGCAACAATGGAGGCTACGTGTGTACCGTGTCCCGTCACGTCTATCACCGATTTCTCTTCAACCCACTTGTACTTTTCTTTCTTCGGGTAGTATGATCTTGCCCCAACGATCTTGCTGCGATTGTTGAATTCAGTAGCAATATTCATAACCATGTCATCTTGAGTTATAAGGAAAATTATTATTATTATTGGTTTTATTTTATCAAAACTAAAGGTTTATATATATATATATATATAGAGATCAAACTAATCCCACACAAGATGTGTGAGGACGTAGTACTAAACCAATATGATTGATACCAAAAGAAAAATATAATGAAAAAGGAGAACGGTGAATCAGTGTATAGTACTTGTTGCAAGTTATATTTTCGCATTTGTTTTCCCAACCCGGAGGAGGGGGGCTGTCGCTACTGAAGAACTCAGAGTAAGGCCAAATGCCGGAGTCGATGACAGCCACCACCAAATCACTCTCATTCTCGGGATTTCGCTCAGCTTTTAATGTTAGATTCATGAAGTCCCATGATCGTGTCGTCTGAAGCTTTAGATTTCTGCTAAGTGACACTTCCAATACTTCTCTTCTCCCTTCATCAAACATCAATATAATGCTTGTGTTATTGCCATGTCCATACTACATATGCATTGAACAAAATCAATCTAGCACTAGGCTTTAATTATACATTATGTCCTTTTCGGTGCTATAATATAGTAATGATCAATTGTGTATATAAAAAAAAGGAAACCAAAAACCTAAAGCCTTTTGATTTTTAATGAAATATTTACATTTTTAGAAGAAGAAAAAACGGAAAACAAAAGTACTAAACAACAGTGGTCTTACTCTTCAGCTTTTGACGTTCTTTTGGTGTGAGTGCTGCCGCGAAACCGGTGAAACTCTCCTCATAGCTGTATATAAATGCATCCGCTACATTGCTGCACTTGTCAACATAAATTCATTGGCTTGTTGGGAATTCTGAACCTAGGTATCTCATCAAAACCGGTAGGACTTATAAAGAATAAAGCAAAATTAAAAACCTATCGTCGTCAAGAACTTCGCTGAGTAGTTCCTGGTGACCGGGACTTGATCCGTATCGATGCCCTCCAACTTTCATCTGCACCAGGTATGTCTGTGTCATTCAAATACAAAGCAACACGTTACATGTTAAAATCTAAACATTATTGGTTATATTTATCCAAAAAAGTACACTATTTGTTATGCAATCTTTTACCACAAATAGAAACAGAATTATTGGATATAAGAAACTATAGTAATATGTGTATACCATCACATGTTATCCACATTTGAATATACTGTCTTTGATTAGTGTTAATTAAACGAGACTTGCTAATCTTTAATAAACAAATAATTTCACAACAGAGGGTTTGGATTAATGTGTATAGAGAATAAGTAAGTTTCATTTTTTTGTTCTCACCTTTCGCGAGTCGTTTGCTTCCGCAGAAGAAGCAAAGAAGAAGAGTAGCAGTTGAAGAAGGAAGGTACGAAAAGCTATTGCCATCCCTCACTCACTCTCTAGAACAATCTTTTTTATTCTTTTTTTTTTTAAGGTTTTTTTTTTTGTCAACTTTTTTCTTTAAGGTTATATGTCTCTAATATATTCTTAAGTTTTGTTGCAGTGCATGTTAATGCTTGATGCCTCTATTTATACAGAAATTTCATGAAGGAGATTGAGAGCGTAAAGGACTGAAGAAGAAGAAATTTGGAGGAGAAGATTGAAATCCAAACATTTCATCGTGCAAAAGCTTATCAATCAATTTAAAAGAACCTTATTCTCCTATTTTGAAGTTGCATGCAATTTTTTGGTGATTCTTGAGAAAGTCCATGACAAATCAAGATTCGAGTGACAAATCAAGAAAACGTGGGGTTTGACGCACATGTGTATAATTAATAGCTTGGTTCGATGAAACTTGTACGAGTACAATTTGGTCAGACTGTAACATTTGTACAATGATGTATCAATTGTTTGTTTGTAAAGTTACTATCTTTTCCAAATAAACCCATACATTAAGGAAAAAATTTCAAATATATAATATGTAAACTTACATGCCAAAGGCAATGGTTAATAACTGCCCTTCACGTCTAAGCTTGTATTTTCAATTTGCAAATATTTTAGGAAAATTAAGAATAGTTATATTGCAGTAAGATTATTTTTTTTGTTCCTCATATGTAAAATGTAACTTAGAAATTACGTTAAAAAAATCGAAGGCCTTAATAATATATTATGTATATAATAGTACAATGGGAAGTCTAGGAAAGTAGAACATGGTCACAATACTATGTAAGAAATGTTTGAGGATACTATGATCAAAGGATACATTGTCCAACATCTAGTGAGGAAATGGACTAAGAATATGAACATATTCAAAGATATGATAATGACATAATATGTGTTCTAAGGAATTGGATACATGTGGTTTTGGTTCCCGTTTGCAACAGGAGAAAAAGTTACTTTTACGAGCCTATCGCTTCGGTGTTTACTTCTCATCCACAACCAAAGAACATCATACAATTTCATCCCCTCTAATTATTATATTCTATGCTATTTCTAGAGTCCACCAAAAGGATTATATATCACTCCACACATCATACCAAACGGTGGCCTTTTCTTGATTGATTTCAATAGCCCACATTCTTCCTTTTACTTGACATGAACATGTGAGAAACTTGTACATTGTGTAATTTTAGATGCTCATTCGATTTTTATGATGATTAATTGAAGATGTCCATATGCTGCTTAAGAGACGATGCTAATCTTACTTAACTTTTGATTTTTCAATCAATCATTTCATTTGGTGTCCTAAAATCGAAGAAACGATCATATGCATGTACACACCAACTATGTGCTTTTCAACAGGCGGATGAAAATCATGTTATAAAGGCCAATTAAAGAAGAAGAAAAAAAATATGCAGAAAGTGAATTTGGGGAAGAAAGATTAGAAGACTAAGGTCTTGCTCCTTTCCAAGAGTTCTCACAACCAGCATCAGTACACACTTTAAAGCCAAATCTTCAATGCTCTGAAACGATTTCTTTCTCAAGCATAGCCAACTCCATCTGCGAAAGAAGGAAAGCCAAAATGACCCATGAATAAGTTTAGCCAGAAAAGAATCAATAGAAATTGTGTTAAACAAGAATCCTTCTATTTGCTTGTTTCTTTCTTGTTTTTGCAAAGGACAGTCTATTGACTAACCTCAGTGAAAGGATCATATCTTTGTGGACATCATGAATTTGGTCTTCTTCTCAGCGGGCTTCAAAATCTGGAATGAGCACATAAGGTTCTCGTCCACGCTCATCATCGCACCAGCATTATCAAATTCGCCACAGTAGTTAGGAGCTGAAAACACCGTCACGAGTTGTCTATCAGCAAAGAACTCATAGCCATCCTCCACGACCTGTCATCAGACATTCAACTTCTTTGTTAACATCACAAAAGCAGTAGAATAAAAGAGTGACATGATTGAAATATCTACCTGATGGGCACGGCACACAAGGTCTAGATCATGTTTTGTAAGAAACTCAGAGACTATATCAGGACCAAAGGTGTAGGAAACCCCTCTATCATTCATTCCCCATCCTTTAACATCTTTCCCAGGATCAGACCAAAGCAAATCACAGAGCAGCCCGTTGTCTGGAATCATAGTTGGACGAGGCAAGTTTCTAATCTCATCCAAATGGTTGAGCTCCGGCGAAAGTCCACCGTGCATACACAATATTTTGTCATCTATAAGCGCCGCAACAGGAAGGCAATTAAAGCAATCTGCGAAAACCTTCCATACCCTCACATTGAACCTCCTTTTACATTCATCATAAAATCCATATATCCGATTGATAGAAGCACATTCGTGGTTTCCCCTTAGTAGAAAAAAGTTCCCAGGGTATTTGATCTTGTAAGCTAGTAAGAGACATATTGTTTCAAGACTCTGTTTGCCTCGGTCCACATAGTCCCCCAAAAATAGATAATTGGCACTAGGAGGGAAACCACCGTACTCGAATAGCCTCAGCAAGTCACTGTATTGCCCATGTATGTCACCTGGTTTAAGCATTCACACCACAAATCATAAGGGAAAACATAAAACGGAATTGAAGTTTCCAAACAGTTCCTAAACTCATAATCAGAATAATGTTTTCAACAGTTCCAATGAAAATAGCATTACAAAAACAAAAAGATATATCATATATACTTGTTTTCTGAAATCTCCATGTTCTCTCATCTATTCAAATCGACCAAACTTATATTTTCTAACCAGAGGAGAACAATCTTCAACGAAACTAATTTTCATATTCAAATGTGAACCATTTGGTTCTTTAACAACTTTTCTTCATGTATCTCGAATCCAACAACCATAACATAAACTTCGTTGGAGCATCATAAACCAGCAACAAGATAAACTATGCCTATCCACTCAACCACTATCCAGTAAAAGCCAAAACATGTCTCAGTTCTCACTCAGATTCTAGTCGCTTCAGAACACCAATCAAAAAGTTTCACAATGGTCAAACAACATTATCCCAAAACCCCACTAAGTTCATACTCGCGAAGACATCAACCCAAGAGAAAAACAAAATCAAACAAACAGTGGGAACCCTAAAATTTCAATTCATTCGACCTTAACAATCAAATTTAGAAGATAAAAACATACCACATATTTTGATGGGAGCCTCAAGCTCAAGCAAATTGGGTTGCTGCATAAAAATATCTCTAGCTGTAGTACAGAGCTGTTTGATCTCAGCTTCCGAGAGCTGGACTTGCTTTCCCGGTCTAGCTAACCGAACCTCAGTGAGTCGCTTGATTATATCATCAAGAACCGCCGTGTCAATCGCCGTTTGCTGCCCCTGCGTCGTCGTCGTCGTCGCCATTAACAGAACCAAAAAACCCTAATTTTTTCCACCCCAGAAAAACGAAAAATAAAGCAAACGCAAAACAATCAGTGAAAAAGGAAAAAAAAAAATAAAGAAGAAATTACGCGCAAACACTTTTTTTTTTAGTTCGAATTGATTTATGATAAAATTTTACATTTTTGTCAAAGAAATTTAAAAAGGTGACGGAGATGGAGAAGAAAATTAACTAAAATAAACAAAAACCTTTAATTGGGGGATATGATAAGCTAAGAAGTAAGAACACTGGGCAATGACAAGCGACAACGTCGTTTCCAAAAGTCGCCAAAATTGGCTACATCTAAATAGTTAATGGGCCGTTTAGTAGACTTAAGATATATGAAATATTAATGGGCTAATGGGAATGGAATGAACCGTACATTGAGGCCTAAAAGAGCCCATCGACGAACAGTTTTTTTTTTTTTTTTTTTTTTTTTCTCTCTTTCTGATCGTAAAGTTCTTTTTCTTTGGGGTGAATATAAATCGTGAAAACTGAAAAGGTTTTGATTTGTTCTCTTTCCAACTCAACTCCACGTTTCTTCTCCTCTCGAAGGCTTTTTCTTCACCCAACAAAAAAAATCTTTACAGATACAAAGTGAACGATTTATAATAAACTTGGATAACGATGTCTCATGCATGAGATAAAGAAAAGTAAAATTCTTGGGTTTTTAGGTGATTAAAGACAAATGCCTTGGATCTTGGCTTTTCTTTCTTTTGCATCGGCTATCTCAATCTCAGCCAATAGACTCACGTTCTCGTCCATATATATACCCTTTCTGTTACATTGCATGCAATAATTGTATCATCATATTCATATTAAAACAACTTGATTTTATGAATAGAAAAGTTTCGATAAGATTTATTGTTCAGAAATAATCGTTATATTAACATTGAACAGGATATAAATTCATGTTGAACTAGAATAATTAAACACATATAATTTGTTTTAAAAAAAAATTGGGTGAAAGTTAACTACATATCATGGGGTATATTATACTTAAGCTAAAATATACAACTTGATAAGAAAATAAAAGAAAAGTATTTTCTGTAAATGAGAATTCCCAAAAATAAGCAGCCTTAATAAAAATAAGTTATGGATCGTCCAATACAGAGATCGACTTTAGCAAGTTGATAAAGAAAAAATGGTCAGATCTCAAGGTGGAAACTGTTGCTGAAAAAAATATAAAGCTAGATTTGATCTGATGCTGTCTTTAACCCACCACAATATTAATTTGCTTCATAAAAAAATATGAGAATAGGTTAGGCTTTTTTGTTCTGTAAAAAAAATGGGTGTCTGATTCCACTTTGAAGCCTCTTTCACCTTTGCTGCGTCATCGCCGGTCACGACCTTCCTATAGATTGATGCCTCTCTGATTATAATAATAATGTATAGATAAAGGTTTGGTCCGTCGTTTGCATGTCATAATAAAGTTTAATTTGCCCATATTAAAGTTGTCTGCGCTAACGTTGCAAAAGCGCATCTTAACAATATATATGACCTTTGCATAGCGTGAACATTGTGTATTAATTAATTGTTTAAGCCCAAAAAATAAATAATCAAAAGAAGAATTTATGTTAACATGTTTAATGTCTAAACATTCTCATCTTTTGCTAAACCATAAAACAACAAAAACAAATCAAACCAAACCAAAGCTAAACGGGAATAGTTAAAGCCGATGGGAAGAGCTGTCTCCATCTAAACCCGAAAAGAAGAATTATTTAAACTTTTCGTATACACACACAAATGTCACTTTTGTTTTTGGTATTTTGATAATTTTAAATGATACAAAAGAAAAGGTTACAAGTTTTCAACTATCCTCCTCCTCGCAACACCGTTGTTTGAGGGATTCTCCGCCTCAGCAAAACCCAAAAGACATAGAAAAAAAAAAAAAAGATATTCTCTAAGAGAGAAAACATCTCTCTTTCTCTCTGTTCCTTTCCTTTCAGAAGCTAAGCATCTCTTCCCTTTTCTTTTTTTTTCTTCTTTTACAATTTTTTTTAGCCCGATCTCTTCTGCAAAGATTCTCTCTTTCTTTTCTTCTCTTTTTCATATATGTTTTTATTCTCTCTAATAACAATTTAATGACTTATAACTTCTTCTTCTTCTTCCTCTTCCTCTTCTTCCCTCTTCCTTCTTCTTCCTCCTCTTCTTTGCTTTGCTTCTCTCTCCGGCCGTCGTTTTCGCTTCACTCACACGTTTTCAAGGATATATAACACACGTGTGGGCCATTCTTTCATCCTCATGGATTCTTCTTCCTCTTCCTCTTCTGCTTCTTCATCTCCTTCTTCTTCTTCCTACGGTGTTTCTCGTGTCAGCCATATCTCTAACCCTTGCATCTTTGGTTCGTTTTCTTCTCCTTCTTCTTCTTCCTATGTTTTCACAAGAGTAACCCTAACGATTTTTTGATAATATTAATTAGGGGAAGTTGGGTCGTCATCTTCGTCAACATATAGAGATAAGAAATGGAAGTTGATGAAATGGGTGAGTAAACTTTTCAAGAGTGGCTCTAATGGTGCAGCTCGCACTAATCATCATCCCCCTCAGTTTCAAGAGGATGAGAATATGGTCTTTCCTCTACCTCCTTCTTCTTTGGTAATTATTGTATACTCATTTTATTTGATGCATCTTTTCTTTCATTTTTTTTTTCCTATTTTAATCTACACGTATACTATATGCATTATGCATGTGATGTGATTATATATTATTCATATTAAAAGCATTATACCAAAAGACAAGTGAATATTTACTACTGTTTTCTTTTTAAAACTTTTGTTCTTTGAAATATCACGGGTCTTGTACATACTGTAAGATTGTCACGTCTATGAATGAGTCTTGTTCGCTTTTAATTGAGAGGATGTGACAATGTGGCCATGATCACTGTTAGGGATAATAAAAATAGGTAGAAATCAGTTTTTTTCGGATTAGTTGTCATGAATTATGAGGATTAAATAATTATGCTTGAGTTTGATTGTTAATAAATATCAATTTCTAAAAATATTTATATTCAACTATTAGGGTACGTTAAATCTTATATAGTTAACAACAAAACAATTTAAAATTTTTAGAAAGTGAATTTGAGCTACCTAGCTCATTGGGTTAGGAAGAGAATTTAAATTCATGAATTAAATTGATGAACACAAAACATTCGGTACAAGGTGTCAAGGTGCATGATAGAGTTGGATTGGATTGAGGTGGCCTATTCCGATACCTTTTTTTGTTGTCAACCTAATTTGATACCCTTAAGCACTACCAGTGATATTTAGTTGTGATATCATATATAAAACTTTAGTTGAAGGGTGAAATTTATATATAACATGGTGGTGGAAAAATTAAATTATTATATTATCAGAAATATGCTAGTAATTTATTCGTCAGCTTTTTTTATAAACTTTTTTTTTTTTGGATGGTCATGTCAATGAATAACGAATCACAGGATGATCGGTCGAGGGGTGCACGGGACAAAGAAGAACTCGACCGTGCAATTTCACTTTCTCTGGCTGACGACAGGAAGCGCCCACATGGTATCTTTATCTACGTTCATGAACTCAAATTAGCTTAGTCCATTAATTACTATTACATTAAAAGTGGATTGATGTTTGTCATTATGAAATCAAATATGCAGGGTATGGTTGGTCTATGGATAACAATCGAGATTTTCCAAGGCCTTTTCAAGGTGGCTTGAATCCATCATCTTTCATCCCACCTTATGAGCCTTCCTATCAATGCAGACGAAGACAAAGGTACAACAAAAATACATTCTCCTATATATTATTGTAATCGAAAGAATATAATATTCAAATAGAGAATAAAATCAAAATGAGTTGTCTATAGATATAGCGACATTAGTGTAACCATAAAAACACCACGTCAAGAGTTATCCTAATAAACCTCGGTTCTAACTTTTAGTCGTGGCATTGAAAATTATGAAAATAAACTAGAAGAATTTTACTTGATTTGATAGTAAAATATTTTACAGTATATAAATTTTATTATTGCAGCTTGTATATATTTCCAATAGCACATTTGGTAACGTTGATCTTTGTGTGATTTTTAGCCGAATATGTGGAGGTTGCAATCGAGATATTGGATTGGGGAACTATCTAGGATGCATGGGCACATTCTTTCATCCTGAATGCTTCCGTTGCCATTCTTGTGGTCACGCTATTACTGAGCATGAGGTATTTATATATATATACACACTTATGTTATAGTACTCTTAATGTGTCCCTTTGAAGTGACTAACAGATTAAGATTCTGTGTGTTTTGCCTTCTCTCTTGATTCAAGTTCTCTCTGTCAGGAACCAAACCCTATCATAAGCTTTGCTTCAAAGAACTTACTCATCCCAAATGTGAAGTTTGTCACCATTTTGTAAGCAACTATACAATCACCTTGTTAGATTCGTAAACGTCATATATACGTATTTGTTCCCTTTTTCATAATCTTCTTCTCAGATCCCAACTAATGATGCTGGTTTGATCGAGTATCGGTGCCATCCATTTTGGAACCAAAAGTATTGCCCGTCTCACGAATACGATAAAACCGCTCGTTGTTGTAGCTGCGAACGCTTGGAGGTAATATTATCACATACAAATAATCTAATCATTATATATCTAATTTTCTTGACAAATCATATTTTCTTTCTATGTTGTGATGATGAAGTCATGGGATGTGAGATATTACACGTTAGACGATGGGAGAAGTTTGTGTTTAGAATGTATGGAAACCGCGATAACCGATACTGGAGAGTGTCAACCACTTTACCACGCGATTAGAGACTATTACGAAGGAATGTACATGAAGCTTGATCAACAGATTCCTATGCTTCTTGTTCAAAGAGAAGCTCTCAATGATGCTATTGTAGGAGAGAAAAACGTAAGCCCTATTTGACTTATACAATAACAGTTTGTGTGATATTAATCCTCAAAGGTACAACTGGATTTAATCCTAGATATGTATGTATCACAGGGATACCATCACATGCCCGAGACAAGAGGTTTATGCTTGTCAGAAGAACAAACAGTTACAAGTGTAAGTCTTTTCAAACTCTCCACGGAAACTTATTTTCTGATTCTAAACACTATTTTTATTTTGCTCTGTTTTTATCTTTTTGGTTCTCCATAGGTTCTTAGAAGACCGAGACTTGGTGCTCACCGTCTTGTTGGTATGAGAACTCAGCCTCAAAAGCTTATACGTAAATGTGAAGTCACCGCGATTCTAGTTCTTTACGGTCTCCCACGGTACTATATATACTACTTGCTCAATTTCTCAAATTAGCTTTTTGGCAGTGTAAATGACTACTTACCTAATGGATTTTGTGGATGAAGGTTACTAACCGGAGCAATTCTCGCCCATGAGCTCATGCATGGATGGCTAAGGCTCAAAGGTACATATTATACATCTTTTGGATTTTAGATTTTTTAATTTTAAAAAATTGAAATATAATCTTGTAAGTATCATATCATATCATACTATGTTGTTATATGCCACCATCAGTTTTGATGTATAAGTTTGTAAAACCATTTAAGTTAATTTAATTTCTTGTTGCCATTAGGGTATAGGAACCTTAACCCTGAGGTAGAGGAAGGAATCTGTCAAGTTCTCTCTTACATGTGGCTTGAGTCTGAAGTTCTCTCAGATCCTTCATCAAGAAACTTGCCTTCAACATCATCGGCAGCCACGTCTTCATCATCATCGTCTTCTAACAAGAAAGGAGGGAAATCAAACGTGGAGAAGAAACTTGGAGAGTTCTTTAAACATCAGATAGCTCATGACGCATCTCCAGCTTATGGAGGGGGTTTCAGAGCAGCAAATGCAGCGGTTTGTAAGTACGGTCTGCGTCCAACACTGGATCATATCCGCTACACTGGAACTTTCCCTTTGTGATCTTATCAATGACGACTTTCATATTTAATGTTCTGGTGTTATCTTGCTATATGGTCTTGATTTGGATTGGATGGATCACACAGGGTTTGCTTTAACTTTGAATAGAATCTCAAGACAGACTTTATCTCCCCTTGGATTTTGAATGGGGAGATTTGTTGTTTGGAGATTTTATAAGAAGTTAAGAACAATGATTGAATACTAATAAAAATTATAAAAATGAATCCCTTATTTTCCAAAGTAACACCAAGAAAATGACTACTTAACACTTGAGTTCTAAAGAGCAGCTAATTCTTGAAACACATTTTAATGAAACTCAAGAAACAAGAATAGCAAAGCTTTAGACATAGGTATCGATCAAAGACTTTCTCATTTCACTAACAAGGAGCTTGGGTTGAGATTGGATTGGTTTGAAGATGCTGTTGACAACAGATAGCTCTATTGCAGTTGTGTCTGAGCCACAGAAAGCGGTCCAGTCGTTCACAGTCAAACCCGCGGATATCACTTGACTGCCATGGTTCACGGTTCCTGCAACCAAAGGGACCTGAAGAAGATTTGCTAGTTCGACCATCTCTTCTACTTTGGTATTTGGATGAACCTATATATTGAGAAAATATTAATATGTTAGTCAGATAATTTCTGGTGAGACAAAATGCCACAAAACAAAGGGATAGCAAAAGAGTATTCATGTTGTAGTCTACTTACCATTCCACCATTATTGGATAAAACACAGTAACTTCCCACAAGTTCATTATTCGAAATGGTTTGCCTGAAAACTTCAACACCAAGAACATCGCTTATAATCTCTTCGGTATCTTTTTCGAGCTTTGGATGTGCAAGCGCGAAATAGTCATTGCAAGCTATGGCGTTTCCAAGTGCACATAAAGGTTCCTCAATTCTTTGGACTACAACTCGATCAGGCAAACTATCTCTCAAATGTTGAAGCTCTGTTCACATTACAAAATAATTTCCTAATAATTAAGAAAACCATTACAAAACTCCAAAACTAGATTAACTTGTAATGGTGGGAACTAATCAAAATCACCTTGGTCGGTAATGGTGTGAGGCAGAAGAAGACCGTTTTTGTTTCCAACACATAGACTACCAATAGTCCCAGATCCTCCTATGGTAGTAGTAACAATGGGTATAACACCTTTTAACTTCGACTCAAAACCACTACATAAACAGGTAAACACTTACAAGTCATATAAAAACTAAACTTGAACGTGAAAACTTAAGAAGACAATGTCAAGAGTGTGTAGATATATATATACGTGAAGAAGTTTGCGGAGGTAGATGTTCCAGAAACGAGGCAATAAGCATTAGTGAGTTTGGAAAATACACCAATTTCGCAATTGTTGTTATCATATCGAATACCTAACAAAGACAAAAACAAAAAATCCTGTAAGCCACTTAAGAAGAAAGCATCGTGTAAAAGTTTTAGGGAAACTCACGAGTCGCCATGACAGGGATCCAACAACACCTGGGGGATTAAGGCACACCAAAACCTAATTTGAGATTATGAATTTCAATACAGATTAAAGGCAGAAAAACAGAGCAAGAGGCCTCGGAGCTTAGGGTTACTGGATTTATATAGACATGGTCACATGGATAATTTATTGTCTAAAGATTGAGGTTTAGGGTTTACCTTCTGGACTAATCGGACGATTTGAAGAACCGTTTTTTTCTCTTTGGAAACCCTATTTTATTATCAGGAAACTTGGATGAAACGTATGCTAATTTATTCTTTTCTTTTTTTTTTTAATTAGTTTTGGAAATTTGTAAACGTAATAAATAAATTTTGAACGAATTTTAAATGTAGTGATTAATTTCTGCTCATTGAAAATGATATCCGAGATAAATGTCTAGAAAAGGTAAACTAAAGAAGAAATACAGTGAAACACAAAATTCCAAAAATCATATCTTTTCCCCGGCACAAAAAAATAATCAGGAGAACAAAAGCTCACTGTACCCATCTCTCCCTCTTTACACAACTTGCCCTCTCTCTCTCGCTCTATGATGCTTAACACAACTGATAATGATCTTTTTGAGTGATTGTATCATTTCATCTTGCCGCGAATCTACGTCTCCTCCTTCCCTTAACCGGCATGGAACCGAAATTAGTCATTTGTTCCATGCCCAAGTCCGGTTCATCTTCCTCACTTGTTTCATCTGACCGCCACCTCAATCCGCCACTGTTTTTTCTGCTCTCCGAGGCCATCACATTTTTGTTGTCTTTGAAGCTGCAATTCATGATACACACAATTGATATGTAGCTAATCCAGTATAAAGATTAGAAGATGCGGACGAAAGAACCAAACCCGAAAAATATACCAGACAAGCATGACAAGAGTTATATACCAAACAGAACCAGTGCCCTCTACTTAAGTGGCATGATCAAAGCAAGTATTAATAACACGCCCTTGAATATCAACTACTGATTGGTTTAAACTGAAGAAAAAAGAAGGCTAGGCTTTGAAAAAGATATAGGAAGCGTACCTTGAAGACATGTCCATTGGATCATCCAAATCAACAAAGTTATCTCTATCTGGTTGCATCCTTGTGCCAAAAAAGGTTGATTCCGGTTTCTGTGCAGATCCATTGAGATGGTTGTTGCTAGGTTTCACTGTTACAGGATTATTAGCTGTGACTCGGCGGAGATAAGGAGAGCTCATATTATTCTCCATGAATCTATCAACATCTGTCTCTGGAGAGGGCTCTTCAGTTCTTTTTCCTTTAAGGTGGCTGTTCCCACGAGCTCTGTTCAGATCTTTGAACGGAGTTGACACTTCACCAAATTTCAGAGTCTTGGTTATGCTTTTAACTTCACTCTTTTGTCCCCTATTTGCGCTTGTAAATAACCTTCCATGGGGGGTATCAAGGGAAGCGTTTCCTATCAAATGACTGGATTGAAATGGACTCCCGTTATTAGCCACTGGTTCTCTAGTGCTGGCATTGTTAGCCCGTTGGAGAAATACAGAATTATTAGAAATGGGAACCGAAGAAGAAATCATCTCAGGTGCATTCGGAAGATTAGAGTTTTTTGCTCCTTCAGAAGGACTTTCAGAGGTATCTTCCATCTCAGAAAATTGTCCAGATCTAACTTGCTGCTGCTGAATTACTGGAAGTATATCTATGGATCTATCCTGTTTCAAAGCAAAAGAGATAGAGGAGGGTTTAAATAATGCACACATAGAACATTTAAGATTCAAATATACTAGACAATCCTGCAAGTATCACGAGGCTGCTAGGCACTATGCAATAAGGTTGAAATCTGAGGATGTAGCCTTTAAGAAGGAAAAGTGGAAGGTTCCACTTGTACATGGAAAGGTGACTGGAATACTTACAACTAACTCTTTTCTCCAACGACTCTGTGATCGCACTCTGGACATAACTTCTTCGCCAATTCTATTGTCAGATACAAAACCCTCCTCAATTTTCTGGAGCCTGAGATCGACTTGGTATGCCTGGATGTAACGGTAGCGCTGCAGCAATGTGAACAACCAGTAGTTTTCAGTCAAAGACAGACCAAACTACACAATTATATACAAAAGACAAATCTTCCAGAGAATAAGCAGAGCTTATATTGATGTCAGAAAAACAAAAAAAGCAGAGCTTATAGTCATGCTGTTTGCCTATTAATTTTAAAAAAATTTAATGCTTGTTCAATACTTTCAACATCAAGCTCTAATTATATAAGATTTTTGAAACCCAGACAGCAAATACAAGCAAGCACACAATAATCTAGCAGGACGAGATAGTTATTTTTTAGGGCCACCATTACTATTCCTCATCAATTCCAATGAGCTATGTCGCTTAAAGTTCTGGAGGTTTATGATATTCTCTTAATAATCCATTTGACTGTTTTCAAAGCTACTCTGGAGATGAAAAATCATTCTCAGCCTAAGTTGTTCAAGTGAAGTTACTAACCTGAAGATAAAAGACAACCAAAAGACTACCCACAGCTGCTGACGGGTCATCAGTTGCAGAATCTAATAAGCATCTGTGCAAATATTTCTCCTCATCTGGGTTCCATGGTAACTCAATGATTCGATCAACCAAGTTTCTCCTTATAGAAAGACAGCAGAATTCGTTGACTAGTATCTCCATCCATTCCGCCCAACTCCAGCTGTCTGGATCATTGGACGCATGCACAGCTCCATTTTTCAATTTATTTTCCTTTACTTTCAAGCAGAGTGTCCGCTGGTATGTGAATGCTTCACTCAGAAGACCACATTCCACTCTCACACGAACAGCTGTAACAGCTTCACCAATTGAGACCAGTTCTGATACACTGTCACGACCAGACCAACGCAAGACCATAAGAGCTGTTTCAGGGGTTTCCCTTTCTAACAGGACTTGCGCAACCTTGGGATAGGTTTCTGGACCACAGATTTCAGGAAGAATCTTACAAGCTTCCTGAAATATAATTAGGAAAATTTATAAGCTACATCAAATAAATGTATAGTTTCTCATGCATATATTTCAGCGAGAGTATTCAAACATGCAAAAAATACATATTTCCATATGTTTTCCCTGGGAATTTCAAAAGGTACCTGGAGTGCGTCTTCAGAGTGATCATCGAGAAGATAAAATACAAAAGACTCCAGCAATGAATGCCTGGTTATGCCAAAGGTAGCAGCAAAATCATCTATAATGTGCTTCCAATATTTTTCAGGAGTAGTCCAATGCCGATCAAACAGGTAGTAAAGAAACTATCTCCTGGTTAAGGAAACCAGCGACGAATAAAAACACGGAACTCTGATTTGAGTATTCATAAGAAGTAGAGTGCAATGTAAAATAAAAAATAGGCGTTGATATAAGGATACAATTGCTTGCTTCGCAACAACTAGATCTGAACCACCATGTAAAAAGAGTATGTCAGCAGCAGTTCTAAGATTCTCAAATGGATAAGACCCTGAGGTTCCCTCTATTTTGGACCTGAGAAATGATCTTTTATCCTTCTGTAAACATCCTACTTCTAGTTCTGCCCCTATTTCTTGACCGTACTCTGGCTCTCTCTCAAGATTTTCTAAAGCATCCTCAATAAAGAGGGAAGCACCCTGTACATTGCAATCTGAAGACTGGTCTACAGCATCAGGCCATGCACGCTTAATTGCATTTGACTTTCTTGCAAGTACAAGGGCATTCCACGATGTGAAATTAGAATATCGAGACCTCACATCCTCCAAAAATCCGTGTCTTATGCACCAAACCATTATGTCCAGATGCTGAGATAAAATTAAAAACAATTGGGTAAGCACACAATAAGCTCGCTGATCTTGCACCAATAGCTGCAGGGCTGATATAGTTAAAACACTATCTGTTCAGGAGCCATACGGTTATCCATGGATATCTTTTAGTATGATATATAAAGATAAGAATTAATATATACTCATCCACTAATATGCTAATGACATGAGAAAAAAAAAATGAAGATATCACAGAAGTAGGGATATAATGAAGCTGATGAAGTAAGACCGTTATTGTGTCTTTCATACATATATATTAAAGCTTTTACAGTACTAACTTTATTGCAATCACAGCCGTATACATCTATATAAAAGCTTTTACGGTACTAACTTTATAGCAAGCAAGCCTTATACAAAACAAGTAACCCTTTCTAGTGTTAGGGCGAACTAAACACAAAGCTTCATAGTAGAACAGATTGTTCTTGGGAAGTAAAGAGAGTTATTCAAGCATACTTTTGCAAAGTTGATTGGATATAAATGGAATAATATCTTAGCTGACCTGCTTTGTTTTACCAATGTTCTCCCTAAGCTTCTGCACATCATGAAGCTGAGTTGAAACGGAACCCTTAAAAGCCGACTCCAAAACTTCAAGCACGCTACATATACCAGCCACCTGTTTCGAACACTTCAGTAGTCTATCCAACCACGCTTGCATCTCTTTTGTTTCGAGAGTATCTGAGAACCAATATTAAAGATAGACAGACCCCAAGGTGCACACATATACTGGCTTAAGAAACATAAAATATAAACAGCTAAAAGGATACAGATTTCTTGAAGCTCAGCTAAGATGCTCCGGAATGTACGCTTGACCCAATCTTTGACAACAACTTCATCCAACAAGAAAGCAATGACTGGGTCACTAGATACAGCTGTCTCATCCATACAAACATTGGTGATATCTATTCATTTTCTGTCAAGGAGTGTCAATGATACCTCAAACATAAAATAGTTCATAGAGAATGACAAACACACTATGCATATTTTTCCCATCAGGCAGGAAACAAGCCCTAAAATTGCATGAAACTATCAGTACAAAATTCCCAAATAAATTTCTAATTGCAAAAGCCTATTCATCAGGAGATTTGGGTTCACAGCTGTAAATGAGACGACACATACATAGAAATCTAGAGAATATATGTAGAATATCAGACAGGAAACTAAAGACTAAATGCAAATAATTGACAGCGACCATAAATGCAACTGATGGATACAATGGCAAATCATCGATATTAGATTGTTGTTCATGGCAACATCAAAGAGAGAATAAAGGCGAAGAACATCAGCTGCCAGTTGATGTTCATCCTCATCTGAATCCTCTGATGCCTCTTCATTGGTTCGGGAAATTAGACCAGCTTCAACACATTCATAATAGAGACGAAGCCGGAGCTTATCTCCAGATTTTGGTAGTGGATGTCTACAGATTGGACAAACATCACACCTCTGACAACACTCTGTGCACAAGGAGGCATGCCCACATGGGTTCAACACATAGTTCACAAATCGTCCACAGCTTGCCAAGTCTCTTGTTGCACGGCATCGCTCAATCTTTGCCTCATTACACAATTCTCTGAGGTTGATAGATGCCAAATGTTTCAACGCCTCCTGTAACAAATAAGGAATGGGATAAGAAAACACCAATTCTAAACCTTCACTTCAACTTTCATGACTCAATATATAAACATCCAAGTGCAATACGTATTCACCAGGCCAACCCAGCAATCATCTTAACAGGCAAGAGAAATTGGAGCCCAAAAACTACCCTAAAACCGTAATATAACAAGCAACTGAAGATCAACATGAAACTGCTGCCAATGCTCTAAAAAAATCCTACGTTAAACTCCTAGAATAAGACGCAGCTCAACATGATTTGAACACAAAACTAGTATCCACCCCAAGAACCAAAGCGATTCAGAATGCTTCCATAGTGTTTACAAATACTACATTCAGAAACCAACAATGCCTCTAGAAAGATATATCAAAGGGCTATAAACGATTCACAAAACCCACGAAATGCGTAAACAAACAAGAATTTCGTAATTATCTCAAGCTCTGAAAACCCCACTTAACCTGAAGATGAAAAAGAGGCTAAAATGCAAAACGCCTAGATATATCTTAACACCTGAGCTAAACGATTTCAGTGGAAACAAAAAGAAAAAGAAAAAGAAATCAATAAGTATCAAGCTGAAGAACCTGAACAGGCTTGCTACTGTAATTAGGCTGCTTAAGAAGAGGTATCGATCTCGCGGCGGAGGCAGAACCATTGATTTGTATCGTATCCATCTTCTCCGGAGAAGAAACAGATACAAAAAAAAAAACGGAGATAAAAGAGAAAGCGTGGTTGGTGAAAAGAGCAAGTGTTGCTGGCGAGTGATAAAACCAGTCTAGGGCTCCGTTAAGCTTTTCTCGGGAGGGAAGACAAAGAAGAGAATCACTGTTGGAGTGAATTCTCGCGACGCTCCACAAACGGGTCGGGTTGGATCGTATAATTCGGGTCAAGTTTTTAATTTGGGCTTTTTGAAGTCTTAATGGATCTTGTGATCGTATGGCCCAGTCGACAATTAAAGTGGGCGGCGCGTGTTCTTACTTGCTAAGAAAGCGCGTGGATTGGTCTCTCTTTCTCGTTTCTTTGCCTTTCCCAATTTGCCTCCACGTACAACGACGGAGGAGAGAAGAAAACCCAGAAACCTTACAAATTAAGAGAAAGGGACGATCGTTTCTCTTTTCTCCGATCTTATCGATTTTTGAATGAGATTAGAAGAACATATCTTCTAAGCTTTACTCTTATATTGACTCTCTCTCTTTGTTCGATTCCATGGATGAGTCGTTTGCTAATCTACAGACGAGCCATTTGCTTGGTTCAGTCCCTGTAAGTTCTTCTAAAACATCCATTGCTTCTGCAATTTCACCATTGTGTAGCTCTTTGATTGAGTTTTTTTTTCCTGGGATCCTTGAAATTTAACATTTTTGCCTTTTTGATGCATCTCATCGATTTTTAATATTTTCTTTTTTCCTGTGTGTTTGTGTTCTCTCTCAAGTGTTACAAAATTTTCCAATTTTTAGAATCGTTTTTTTTTCCATTACGAAGTAGAATTTTGAACATTTACAGTTTTTTCCTGTCCATTATGATGCCTACACACTCCATAGAACAATCGACGATTTCCTTAGTCGCATTTCTGGCATTCTATATTTGCAAAAGGGTTCTTTAAGTTTTTCTCCATTTCAGGAGAGTAATCTTGAGTAGTTCCTTAGTTTATGAGATACCAAAACTGAGTTTAGATGCTTGCATGGTAGCGTGGGATTAAACCCGCTAAGAAGTGAATGTATTCACTACTATCCTCTATGTTTATGTCTAATACAAAAATCTGTATTTCTTTATTGGGGAAGGCTGTGATCAGCGACGACAAGAGAAGCACAAATGTACCTATAGCAAGCGTAAATGAAGGTATGTTTATTTTTGCTAGTTGATGCTTGAACTATCCTTTTGCGAATGGAATTTTTTATGGTAGTGAAATACTTTTGAGTGTTGCTTGTCTTCTGCAATATTGTAGGCCCTTCGGCAAACATGCAAATATTCCCACCAAATCTAGGAAACAATGCAAAGGGTTATCAAACTCTTGAGAGCCCAACAGGTAATAATTACTCCTTTTGCTTTCTTCGTTGGACATGTATTTGTCAGTAGTCACCATATATCCAGTAAGTCATAAGAACATGTTATGTAGACAATATGTGGTGATTCTAACTTTGGACTTTGTAACAGTATGATGGTTGACAATATTCATGTCAAGATCCTTACTGCTTTTGATTTCACCTTTTGTGTCCTTTATAATAATTCATTTTATGTACACCTGTAGAAGGACCTCCTGAACAACAGCCATCAAACAACTGGAAGGGCTTTTTTAACGTCTACTCATATACTCAATACTTCGATGTAGACACAGACGTTGTTTTGAACAGATTGATGAGCTCACTGTATCCCACTAGTGGAGATTTTTTCAACAAGATTGATGCAAACCCTGATTTGTAAGTCTTTCAATACCTTTTCCCCTTAATTTTCTTTGTGATTGCACTGGATCTGCGGGATTTCTTTCACCTCTCCTATTGAGATTTCTTTAATCAGTCCACTGCTCAGTCAGGCTGTTAATTTGTTATCTTCTGCACCTTTTCAAGAACACATTCCAGCTGCGATAGGTCAGAGGAATGAGTTTTATATCTCATAGGTTTGGGGAAGGCTTTACGGTTGCCAGTGTAGATAAGTAATTCAACTGGAGTAGAGATTGCCAATAGAGCTATTGATATTTGATGATTTAAATGGTAGTGTCAGAATTTAGAACTAGGAATGTAATCTGGGAAAGAGCTGGATCTTTCGTGTGAGAGATCTTCCTGCTTTACCTTTTTCAGTTTGCTTGTGTACTTTTTTTGCAACTATAGTTTTGCTTCTTGAATATTCCCCCAGAGCTAATATACTAATAGACTTAAGCCTGCATCCAGATCAATTTCCTCACTTTGAGTTTAGTTTTGGACTTCTAGCTATTTTCATAGTCTGATAGTCTCCATCAGATTACGGGAAGGTTGATGTAGTGTCATCGTCTTGATTAGGAAACCTAAGATCTGACAAAAGGCAGTTGAAAACAGGCCTAGTTGAGTAAAGACTAAATTTATGCCCCCTTTTGTATTGTCATTATATCGTGGATTCTCAGGAATCAGTAAACGAAAAGTATCCATTTGTTTAGTGGATTATTGCTTTGTAAGTCAATTAAGATGCATTTACTCATGTGTTACTTCAAGCGATAGATTAGGAAAGACCTCATTTTCTCTTGGACAATTGAATGGAAAGCATCAAAACATGTGCATATACTCAATTAGCAAACATGCTACCTGTAAAGATTTGCTAAAAGCTAGGCCCTTCGGCCTTCACAAATGTTTCTAGATGAATGACTCGTGTTGGTATCTCGTCGCTCTGTTAGGTATGGACTTGTTTGGATCTGCACTACGCTTGTGTTTGTGCTTGCTTCTCTCGGAAATTGTGCCACGTATCTTGTGAAGAAACGAACCCACAGTGATGCTCCGTGGATCTTTGATGTGAACTATATGAATTTGGCAGCATCTATAATCTATGGCTATGCAATAATTGTGCCTCTGGGATTTTATTTCTCACTCCGGTATATGGGGTCCAAAGCTGATCTTCTAAGATTCTGGTGCCTTTGGGGATACTCTCTCTTCATTTTCGTTCCTGCATCTGTAAGTATATTCAGTAACTCCTACCTCTTTTACTGCTAAAAATTAACCAATTGATTATCAGTAAATGCATATACTTGATACACAAATGGTTCGGAACTTAGCTTTCTGTGACAATGTACAGTGACATAAAATCAACTTAAAATCGTATCACAGCGCCTTTTAATTTAATATTTTGTACTATCCATCGATATATGCTGTTTAAACAGTCTAATACTCGGGATTTTCTTTTGCAGCTTCCATTGCTTATTCCGGTAGAGTTTCTGAGATGGGTTATTATACTCTTAGCTGGTGGCGCATCATCGTCCTTTGTTGCCCTGAATCTACGGTCTTATTTAGAGACGAACAATGATATCACGGTTGTAATGGCTGCAGCTTTTGGTCTGCAAATGGTTCTTTCAATCTTCATCAAGGTCTGGTTCTTTCCATAATCTCCACAACACCCAAGAAAAACAAATATGTAAAAACCTTGAGATTTTGATGTGCTGTAGTAGAACAGAGAATGTCATTACCAGAGAATGAAACACCCAAAAGTAAAAGAAGGAACAAATACACTGAATCATGGATTCGTTTTTAATGGCTTAGTTTGATGGTTGTTTTGCTTGTAACTATTGTGTGTTTTTTGTCTGTCTTGTTATCTCTTCTTTGCTTGTGGAGTAAGAATATTCAAAAGGAAGAAAATTTTCAAGATTTATTGCATTTTAATCTTCTGTACACTGAAATTTGAAGAGAGTGAAGATAGGACATGCATTTGTCGTTATGGTTTTGTTTTATATAATGGTACAGAGCTTTGCCCAAAAAAAAAAAAAATTGGTACAGAGCATGTGAAGCATGAAAGAGTAAAGCCAAAAGGTCACATTAGATAACCTGTGAATTGGTGTCTAAAAAGAAAAGATAACCTGTGAACTCTTGAGAGAAGAAAACAAGTGGAACCTGTGAGAGCAAGATTTTATGCTAACAACTCAAACTTCCAACTTTTCTAATGAAACCTCAACGAGTGATGAAACGTGTGTAGGAATAATGGGCCAAATAGCCATTTACAGGCCTGCTTCATTGGCCCATTAGCATATATAGCTAGTCACTTCCCCGTATCAAGAAGCACACATACAATATGCTCTAACGAAACCAAAAAAAAAAAAAAAAAAAAAAACCATGTGTTGTAAATTTTATAGTTTACTCGCGCTGTTACCAGACTATATTGACGTTCAACTATTTTGGTTGCATTGAAATTTGGATTATGCTGTGAGTATTAATATAAGTATATAACCCAAGATTCGAAACTATGGTCGATAAAGCCCTTTGTTTTAACGAAAGAGCTAAACGTGTATCTTTCTGTGTACCTAGTGGATTAAAATGTCGTATATAATTGTAAAGTATGGTATATTCGTATATCCAATATTTTTAATTTGTAAATATCCTGACCAAAAAAGAATATTTTTTTTTTTCCTTTTTCTGTAAAAATATGAGATATATTGAGGAACTTTTTTTAGTACCTAACACTAACTTTAGATGATTTGTAATAAACCAAGTTTCTTAAAGTAAAACAGCAGTGGTGACTCTTGAAGAAATGAACCCGTATAGTTGTTGGATTAGGACTAATTCTTCGTCTTAATCAACAGTCCATTTTTGCTTATAACTAATAAAACTTCTTAATCATCTTTACACTTTATAAATTTTGTTTGATCTTGAGTTACTTGCTGGTTTTGGCATCCTAAACTACATTACTTCAATAATATTTTTTTTTAATTTCTCCAGCTCACCCCTCCTCGACCCAAGAAAATAATAATATTCTTTACGAGAAAAGGAATATATAAAATATATGTGAAAATGAAAAGAGAACAATATCAAATTTCTATGAACAACACTATCTTCAATCACGGTCTCTATCAGTATTACAAACAAATGATATTTTATTTTTACTAATTATATATATCCGAGTCTACATATGATAGTGATTCCTTCAACTTTTCTTGGTCTATCTGCGTCTTCTCACCACATATTTACTTTAGATACGAGAGTTATGGAGATAAACTCGTGATTTGTGTGGTTTTTTTAACCCATTAAAAACGTCGGCCAAACTCATTAAAAAAAAAAGGAATGTAAATTCTCAAGTAATTCTGTAGATTTTGTTTATCTAATGGATTCAAACGTCAGAAAATAAAATGGATTCGAAATATTTATTTTTGTGCTCCATGCATGTTTTTTTTTTCTTTTTTTAACACTCTTCATCAAATTGTTTTCTTCCATTTTTGTTTTTTTGGAGGATAATATTTTTAACACACGTTGTTTCTTTTTCTATCCGAAAAGATGTTCATAAAAATTCCAAATTTGTCGACCAAAAAATAAAAAGATTAAAGCGACCGTAGCAAAGTTTCTCTCAAAATAAAGGCGAGATGCTTTTTTTTTATTTTGGTTTTGCCTGCGTGATCGATCGCTCATATACACACAATATTAAACAAAAATGTAAAATAAAAAGTCTCACACAACTTTGGTTTGCTTATTGCTTAACATTACATGCCGACGTCGAAAAACACAATTAATACTACAACCCTTTGAAACTGGCCTTAAATCTTCTTTTAGGGTTTTCATAAATAACTATTCAACTATACATTCATCTTCTTTTGACTTTTACCAAAACATAAATTCGAGATCGGTCTGAAACGATAAATTGCTTATTTCTGGGAAATATAATACAGATAGTACTAGTTTAGTCTCTTTGAACGTGATTGCACTAAAGCTTTTGGACGTTCGTGACTCGTGACGGCTTTACATTGGACGCAAAGAAAAATCTAATGATTAATGAAGCTGCACCAATTACAACTTCCCAAGTGTAGCATGTTTTCCCATTATAATACCTCTATATATACTCCACCTTATCCTATTCTGTTCTTCTACATTTTTGTTGGTCGAGTGAAAAATCTTATCTATTTATCTGTAACAGCGCTGGAAAATGTATAACGTGTTCTCATTTTGGCCAGTGATCCCTATAAACACATATTTTCGTTTCACTCTTTTAAACTTTATGAAAAAATCCATAATCAGAGAGAGCCCATAGTTATGTTCTTTAATTTAGTAACCATTTTGAATCGACTACTGTAATGATCAGAGTTTAGAAATTATAAAAGCACAAACGTTTGAAGTATTGAATATAGTTTGCACGATAGTTCAAACACACAAAGTCTAACTAATGAGGTCGATACAAACACTAAAACGTCATCATTTAAGATTTATTAATTCTGTGATTCGGGTAACATGGCGCCATGTTTGCTTAATCATAAAAATGATTTTAATATTCTAATATATTCGGCAAATCAATTCTTAGTTTAACATGTAACTCGAGATTGAATAACTCAAAATCAAACGTTTTGTTTTACAAGTATTATTTTTACTTGTATAGTGATATGTCTTAACTTGTAAACATTTTTGTCCAAAAAAAAAGAAAAAAAAAAAAACTTGTAAACATTTTTTTTTTTTTTTTTGGTGGAATCTCGTGTCCGCAAATTTTATTTAATTTCCATTGGCTTGTGACTTGTGAGTTTCAACGGTTCCTTTATTATCTTTTTAGTTGCTTGGAATATATGTCATAATTAATTTGGTATATCCATAGATTTATATATAGATATTTGTATTTTATATGCGACTACTTGTGCGCGAGAGACCGTTGGTTTGAACTTTGAAGCGTTATCTGATCATACGCTAAAATCTGGGAGTGATGTTAACACAACTCTGAAGAGTATATGCATAATTGACAAGTGTTTGGACCCATCTTTTCGAAGAGTTTTTTTTTCATATTTTTAAATAAACAAAAGAATTGTTTGGCTCTTATTTCGCCTTAAGAGATGATGTAAGACAAAATTGACAAGTTATCATTTGAAGAATAATTATATGAATCAATTTAGTTACACATAATCTTTCTACTATAGTATATAATTTGATGTAGGACACATGTCACTGTATTTTTCTCGTTTTTATAATAAAGTTAGTACGTATCATATAATTGTTGTTGGGTATTTGACTAATGCTAACAGCCTAACACTAACACATTTTTTAACAAGAATTCTCATGTCATTAAACTCACTCTTATCATATATTAATTAACGTCTGTCACAAAATTCACTTTTGATAAATGTAATTAAGTTTTCATGTAGTAGCGTGAGTCTTGAAAAGGTTTGGAACCTGTCTATATATTAATAAATCTAAAGCTCCATTTCTTTACATGTGCCCCAACTACATACGTGTCCTAGTTTTGCAAGTTTTTTTCTTTGTCTCGTGACTTAAATCCATATATAGAGAGGTCACATTGAAATGTTGGATTGTACCCACAAAAAGTTTGTAGCCATTTATTCTTGTCAAGAACTGATCGATACATATATCTCCTAAATTAATTCCTTTTCTGAAAGTATCCATTTAGTGGCTTTTAAAACTTTTGCGAATATCCATTACTAAAGCTTGGATATCATTCATTGATTGACTTTGTGATAAAATTAACACAATTCATCTATAAATTCTTTTTTAACCACGTACAACTGAAACATTTGAAACCAATCCTGATTCTTGATTCTAAAAAGTCGAGGTACTCCATATTTTTTTTTATCTATTATTTTCATAAATTTAACATATATATCAAACATATGCTTTAATTTATAGCACATCACCTTCCAACAGTTTAAACCTTTAAATGGTATTGAATTTATAAAATCCAGTTATTTAAAAAAAAAAATCATTTTGTGCTCTATATTTTAATTCTTTCAACATGATCCATAACATTTCCAGGCGTCATGCATTCACTATCTATAAATAAGAATAAAACGTCATGTTCAAGGATGACGCTATATATCTTTGATCAGTGTTTGGTATGAGTCGTTAAAAAAAATAAAGGTCGCACTACCAATCTTTTGTGCTTCTTTCGTATCGACGCCATCGTTTAATTGGACTCCATTTCAATCTAATTCATACTATTATTGATATAAAAAAACTACACGTGGAGAACTTCCATGCAAGCAAGAAAAGATGGTATAGACATAGACATATATATTAACATCACTTCTTATCATTTACCCAAAATGCTAAGAAATAAAAATTTCCATTTTCGACCATTATAAAACGTATATGTCCACGTACAAAAAAAAAAAAAAAAAAACAACGTAAAAGGCTCATTTTATTATCTCTCTTTTTCACACAATAATTATAGTATTATACTATGGATATGGAAATCACATATATAACCTAACAATTCTAACAAATAGCATGCATTCACGAATCAAAACCCTCCAACATAAAATGTGTTATTGTCACTTACTACTCCATTATCGTTTTTACATACCTACCTATCAAAATCGCATCTTTCTTTTAAATATTTTATATGTAAGAATACACGCATGTGCTCTTGCTGCGTGGCTATATGCATACTTGAGTCTAAAAATGAATGTCTATAATATAACCATCCCTCATCTGAGTCCCTGACTACGATATGTCGTTGGTTACGAATGTGATGATAATTAGTTTAAAATAACATGAATAAAATCACACAAGAAAACAAATTAGTGTCTATTATTTGACTAAAGATTGCAGTTGGTGGGCCTAAAGGTTAAAATAAAGAGGGCACATGCACAGAGGACCAATGATTCCCCACAGAGACAATCAGACATCTGAAGACACTAATCGCATCAAACCACGTGCCCCTCCCTTTTACTAATTACTACTAA